GGCGGCAGGATGGGGGGGATGGGGAGAGACTTGCGGTGGGGGGGTCAGGAAGGTCGGGGCTTAGCCTAAGGCGGGTGGGGTGTGAAGCCCTAGGCAGGTGGCTCACTCTCTGTGACCCTCGCAGCCCGGCCTCGGCCTGGAGCTCCAGCTCCCCGCATGCACCGTACCTGGGCTCCTCCGGACTCCTGAGACCCCACAGAATGGCGGATGGAGGAAGCCCCTTTCTAGGTCGTAGGGACTTTGTCTACCCTACCTCAACCCGAGGTAAGGACCAAATCCTGCTCTTTTTCTCACTCAGACGCCCATCCACCAGATATGCTGGTGCCCCGGGGTGGCAGGAAGGTCCCAGGGCCCCTTAGTTCCACTGGTGCCTGTCTTGGGGGCGGGGAGACAACCCCATCCCAGCCCGGTTTCCCAGACATGGCCTTCCCAAGCTGAGGCAGTGCTTCTCCACAGACCCTAGTGCCTCTGGAGTAGGGGGCAGCCCAGCCAGGAAGGAGGAGAAAAAGGTAAGGGGGGCGTAGCAGGGTCAGGGTGCAGGGAGGCCTGGGGCACCCCATGGCTGCCGTTCTGGACCTCTGCCTGCCTGACTGAGGGAGCTCCCTCTGTCCTTTCCCCTGCCTAGAGGAAGGCTGCCCGGCTCAAGTTTGACTTCCAGGCACAGTCTCCCAAGTAAGTGCCCTTCTCTCCCTTCCCAGTCCACCCTGGGCAGTCTCTGCACTGGGGAATGGGTGGGGGGACAGAGCTGCAGTGGGCATTACCAGAGGGGTGGAGGGGACTCGAGGTACACTGGGTAGGGTCTGAAGGGAAGGAGGTTTAGTAGGGCCTCAGCTTGTGGTGACCTCCTCACTGTGGCCTGCAGGGAGCTGACTCTGCAGAAGGGTGACATTGTCTACATTCACAAGGAGGTGGACAAGAACTGGCTGGAGGGGGAGCACCATGGCCGACTGGGCATCTTCCCTGCTAATTATGTGGAGGTGAGCAGACAGGACGAGAGCAAGCGGGAGCCAGGCTGCAGGTGCCCATGGGTTGAGTGCAGGCTCTGGGCTTCCTAAGATGTAAAACTGCAAGGGGCAGGGATCTCGTCTCATGAATGTCCTTGTCCTCCACAGGGGTCTGGCCTAGTGCACTGCATATGCCCAGGAAATGTTTGCTAAGTGAGGGTGGAGTCCAGGGCAGGACCAAGTGGCTTAGCTCCTCAACCAGAAGCCACCACCCCTCAGTGTCCCACACTTTCACCACTCAGAATCGACCTTTCCAACGCTGTTTTGGGAAAAATCCTAATTGCACCTGGCAAAAGGGCAAAGTGTGTGGCAGTTTACAAATCACACACACACACAAGGGAGGTGTATTACCTCCCTCATTCCTCTAACTGCCTGGGGAGTGATAGAATATCACCATTTTACAGATGGGGTTGCTAAGGTTCAGTGACAAGTTATAAAGGAGAAGATCCAGAATCTGAATCCAGGTCTTCCAATTCCAAGGACAGGTTCTGGACCTGATAGATAAAGGAATATAGGTTATTTTTGCTGTTTGTGTCTTTTAAGGAATGTCAAGTTATCTAATTTACTGGTATAAAGTTGTTCATAATATTCACTTATTATCCTTTTAATGTCAGTAAGATCTGTAGTGATGTCTTCTCTCTTTCATTCTTGTGATTTGCTTCTTGATTTCTGTGAGCAGAACGAAGCAGAGAGAGCATAGGTATTCTGGGCACCTGGTGGGGTCGAAGGGGAGGAAGAAGCAAGACTCTTGGTTCTCAGTAGTGGTAACATGAACAAGTCACCAGGTGCACCCTGCTACTTGGAATGCCTCCTTTCCTTCTGTGGTCAAACCTGAACTCTCAAGTGGGAATGGCCTCCGCCTTTACACTTGCCATTCCCTAACCAGTAATGCCCCCTCCACATAGCTCTACTGAAAATTCTTCCTCCAGGGAGCCTGCTTGGACTAGCCCCCACCCCTTAGCTGTGCTCACCCTGGCCCTGCTCAGGGTGTGCATCTGATGTCAGTGTCTAGTGTTGGTGTCTTCTCACTGGTCAGGACATGTCTTGCCCAGCCCACCTTCTCTTTGTGGCTTCACGCTCCCTGGAGCCCCGAGTCTGTGCCCAGTTGATGTCCAGGCCAAATCTTTCTCACAATCTTTCTGCAGGTGCTGCCTGCAGATGAGATCCCCAAACCCATCAAGCCTCCGACCTACCAGGTGCTGGAGTATGGAGAAGCCGTGGCCCAGTACACCTTCAAGGGGGACCTGGAGGTGGAGCTGTCCTTCCGAAAGGTGGGGCCAGGCAGGGAGTGGTGGGATGGGGTGGTAACAAGCGAACACACAGATAAACTTCCATGTGCACTAAAACTGTTTTTTTTTTAGAGTCAGGTGTACCATCTTCACCCAGTATTTCACATTTTCTCGCAATCTCTTTGAATATGTTTCCCATAATTTAATCCATTTAAAAAAGTTTGTTGTGCTGGCCAGTTAGCTCAGTTGGTTAGAGCATGGTGTTGATAACCATGAGCAAGGTCCAGAGTTTGAATCTCTGTACTGTCCAGCTGCCAAAAAAATTTGTAAAGTTATGTTTTTTCCAACTTCAGGTTGGTAGGCTGCAAGGATCATAATCAGCATTTTTAAAGGAATAGATAGAAATATTAGAATGCATTGCATGTAGAAAGAGTACTTTAACAAACTGCCTACAGTTAAGTGTACACATATATATATATATGTTCTAGGCTGTTATTAAAATGTATTTTTTTACTATAGATTGTGGCAAAAAAAGTTTGAACAATTCTGTCGACAATAGGAAACTGGTCTTTAGGTTGATTTTGGGGGCAGAGGCCATGAATGCCCCTAGGAAATACCACCCAGGGACAAGGAGGGCAGGAGGTGGCTGGATGGAGAGAGGTGGGGGCAGGAGACCGTCCTCCCCAGGGCAGCCAGCTGAGGCACGGTGGTTCTGCCCCTAATGCTAGTGAGCATGTGGGCTTGAGTTTGCTTTGAGCTGCGCTCATTACAGATCACCCAGCTTGCGAGGCAAGGATGGGTGCAGTCATGGCAGTGGTGGCTGATGCCTGTCCAGTGCCTCTGATGCATCTCCTATTGATCTCATTCGCACTTCACAGCAGCAGTGTGGTTATCCCCACTTAACACATGATGAAACCATGGCTCATAGAGGCAGAGCAGCTTGCCCAAGGCCACACAGCTTGGACTAGGCAGAGCTGGGTTTGGATCTGTGCTATTGGCCACAGGATCCCCTGTGTTTGGACCCCTGGGGAGGCAGAGTGCTGTGAGCTTGGAGAAGGGGATGCATGCCAGGTGGGCTTCCCAAAGAGGCAGGACTTGATACAAACCCAGCACCGCCTGCTGTGGGAAGAGCTTAGGCTACTGCTCACTTGGGAAGCCTGGGTTTGGCTTCTGACCTTGAATAAGCCTGCTGACCCCCTCTGAGCCTGATCCTTCCTGTGCGCAAGGTGTTAGGCTTGAGTGAGACAACCCAAGAAGGTGCCCTCGGGTGCCTGGCGCCCAGGGGGGCCCTGCAGGCACTAACTCCTACTTTCCCCCAGGGAGAGCGCATCTGCCTGATCCGCAAGGTGAATGAGAACTGGTACGAGGGGCGCATCTCTGGCACAGGGCGCCAGGGCATATTTCCTGCCAGCTACGTGCAGGTGTGCCGCGAGCCTCGGCTTCGGGTCTGTGACGATGGCCCCCAGCTCCCTGCATCTCCCCGCCTGACTGCCACTGCCCGTCTGGCCCATCACCCCAGCTCACCATCAGTGCCACGCGGCCCAGCTGACCCCACCGACTGGGGAGACCAGACCTCCCCCCGCCGCACTGGCTTCTCCATTCCCCCACAGGAGTCCAGACCCCAGACCCAGGTGAGGTGACCTGCCTTGGGCTAGACAGCTGACCTGCTCCCCACACCACATCCACCATCCCTGTGACAGGTCCACATTTGGGAATCCTTCCAAGACAGCCCCAGGACAGAGTAGTGGGGTGACTGGGCAGAACCTCACAGTGCAGCGCCACTTGGCCTTGGGTAGCCCAGACCCCTTGCCTTGGTTCTGGCCCTTGAGCTCCAGTCTGGGAAAAGATGCGGTAGCCAGCTCGCTCTAGCTGGGACCCCAGAGCCAGCCCAGGCCTCATGAACCTTCACACACCACTTGGTCATGATTTGCCTGCATCCGTCTCTGGGCCAGGTGATGCTAGGAGTCAGGGCTGTGCTATTTGGCTGCTGTGTGACCTTGGGCAGGTGACTTACCCTCTCTGGGTTTGTGTTTTCTCACCTGTAGAATGGGGATAATAATTCCTACTGCAGGGTGGGGTGGGGGTGGGTTTGAACTAAAAGCTTACTGTAGCTGATGGGCAAAAGAGAGTCATTATTCCTAGTACTGATGTTACCCACAGACGTGCGTTTCCTCCTGCGTTCACCCATTCACGCAGCAAACCGCTGTGAGCCAGGTACCACCAGTGCGCGGGCTGCCTTCAGGCCTTCCCCACTTTGTCCACGCTGGCGTTCAGAGCTCCAGACACTTCCCCTAGCTGGGCCTCAGCTTCCTGGCACCTGGGAAGTGAAGTCGTTGAAGCAGATCCTCCTGGGCCTTGGGGATTCGTGGGGCAGGATGGGGAAGGGTATAGGATGCTCTGACGGGTGGAGTGAAAAGGCTTGTTCCAGCTTTCCTCCCTCATGCTTGCATGTTCCCGTCATCTTCCTCCCTCTGACTCAACTTTTTTCCATGAACCCAGACTCTCAGCACCCCTGGGCCAGCTCTGTCCCACCCTCTAGGCTCCAGCCATCCCCTGGACCTGGGGCCCTCCCCCAACAGCACTCAGATACACTGGACCCCGTGAGTACCATTGGAGGGTGTCTGGTCAGGGGTGGGGGGTCACCCAGCAGGCAGTGCTGACTACACCGACCCCCATGTCCTGTCCTTTCCCCTGATACCTATGGATTTGGAAAACCCTGACCAGGTAGCCCTTGTCCTTGCAGAGCATGCAGGTGATTTGGGGGCAGGGGAGAGGTGCTCCTCTGTGGTGTTCCTCGCCCATCCCCGCCAGCTGCGGAGCCTTAAGGCGAGCCTCCCCCCAGGCACCTTCTTGGCCTCAGTCTGCTCATTGGGTCTCCAGCCCTGCTGTCAGTGTGCATATAAGTCAAATATGGGGACTGGCAGACAGATCAAAGGCACTGGGTGCTCAGAGGAGGCGAGGCTTGGTGGCCAGGGCAGGGCAGGCCTGGGGAGAATGGACTGGAGCCTGGCAGAGTGGCCATTCTAGGAGCTGGGTCAGGTTAATGAGAGCACAAAGGACCTTGGGAGATTGACGGGAGGTGGCAGCTCTGAGGTTCAGAACCTCTGTGCCTGGTCCGAGGAAGGGGCACTGTCTCCCGCAGGTACCGGGCGATGTACCAGTACAGGCCCCAGAATGAGGACGAGTTGGAGCTGCGGGAGGGGGATCGCGTGGACGTCGTGCAGCAGTGTGACGATGGCTGGTTTGTGGGTATGTGGGCCTTGGGGTGGGCTGGGGGCTGGCCAGAGGGGGCATCTCAGGGCCCCACGGGGATTTGGGTGGGCTGCTACTGCCTGCCAGTGTTGGTTCAACAAAGATGCATAACCTGCCTGCCCCGCACCCAGCTCCAACCTGGCTGCTGGGCAGGCCTGGCTCTGGGTGCTTCCCTAAAGCCAGCACTTCTGTTGGCTGCCTTCCTCCATGACAAGGAGGGTGAGGCCTAGGAAGAGACTGGCACCAGCCCAGGGTCATCGATGGAGTCATTGTGGACTCAGGGCAGGGTTTCTGACCCCCAGACCCCTGCTCCTTCTCCCACATACCTTGGCCTCTGGAGAGTCCTGCGGGGAACTCCTGGGGGAAAGGACTAGGTCTCACACCTGTGTACACCTCCCCTACTAGCTCCTGCAGTCTGGGGAGAAGAGGGAGTGGAGAAAGATTCCGGCCCTTCAGACACGGCTCAAGGGCAGTTCAGGCAAAGGACTGAGGCAGGACTTCAGGGTGGCCTTGGCCTGGTTCAGGGTGACTGACCCACCAGCCTTCACATGGTGCATTTCCACAGAGGGGGCGGGCCCTGTCTAGGCCTCAACTTCAAAGGTTAAGCCATCCCCACAGAAAAGTAAAAAGCCAGAAGTGCCCGCTGCCCCAAGTGAGCTTTGGGGCTGGAAGGGGTGGGGGGATGCTTGGGGCAGGGGTAGACACAGGGTCGTCCCTTGACCTGGAAGCCCGCCCTCTCTGATCTGAATCTCAGTACCTCCCTGCTGATCAGTCTTCCCACAAAAGCTTGTTAACTGTTCTTACCTCTGAAGGATGGGCTTGGACACATTCTAATGTTACTTTATATACTTTTTGCTCTTGAATTTTTTTACAACTACTAATAAAGTTTTGCAAATCTGTAGACAAGGGGAAAAAGCACCACTTTTGTGGTACAAGCCACAGTGCTTTCAGATAAATGGTTTAGACCTGCACCATCCAGGATGGTAGCCAGTAACCACCTGTGGCTATTTAAGTTTAAATTAGTTAAAAATGAAATAGTTAAAAATTTAGTTCTAGTTGCATGAGCACATTTCAAGTCTCAATAGCCACATGTGGCTAGTGGTTATCGTTTTGGACAGCGCAGGGCAGAGGAAGGACTTGGGGAGACCGAGAGGAAAGGGGGGTGCTCCAGGTAGGAGGACAGCTCCAGCGAGGGCTGGTGTGGGCTGGCAGTGGGCCGAGCAGGGGCTGATCGAAGGAAGTCAGGATGCCTGCCCGGAAGGGGAGGCCCCGGGAGCATCGGCTTACCCTGGGTCAGGACTAACATTCATTTCATTTTATAGTCTTGTATTTCTAGCATCCCACCTCTTCCACCCCAGGCCACGGGAACCTTTGGGGTTGTAGCAGCAGACCAGAGGCCTGCACTGTGGTCCCGACCCTACCCCTAAGCAGCTGAGTGCTTTTGGGCAATACCTGGCCTTCTTGTAGGCCTCACCCGCCCATCCCTTAGATGACGGCTTCGTGCTACACCAGTGAGGTTCCTCCTGCTGTAGGTTCTGTAATTCATCCTCCTGCTTCCTTGCTTTCCGGAAGAAGGGTAGAGTTATCCAGTGCTGTGTGCAAAGCTGTACACGTTTGTCGATTGTTGGGATTCTTTGATTTTTGGCATTTAGGAAGTATAGCTTTGCAGGAGGCACCGGGGGCAGGGAGGAGGGAAGCAAATCAAATTCCCCCGCCCCCACCCCCGAAAATGACTCCGCCTGCAGTTCTGGACACTGCCAGCAGGGGGCAGGGCCCCACCCCACATTCCTGTTGGAAAAAAGGAGTGTGGGGAACTTTTTGTCTTTCCTTTTTCAGGTGTCTCCCGGAGGACCCAGAAATTTGGGACATTCCCTGGAAATTACGTAGCCCCGGTGTGAGTGGTCTCTGGAGCAACTCGGAGCCAGCCAGGATGGGGTGGGGAGCAGTAGCACTTATGGGAGGGAGAAAAGAACCCCCCATCCGCCTCCCCCAGGATCCGAGCTCCTGGCATCTGCAGACAACCCTGGCAGCCTTTCCCTCGGAGCCCCCTCGAAGCCCCCTGGACTGATTCCCACCCACAGTTCACAGACATTCCTGTAAAAGCCCTTTCATTTCCTCCCCCACCCCACTCCCCAAATATAGAAGTTGGCTTTGAAGTGGAGACTGTTTCCAGGCCTTATTGAGACCAGACCCCTGATTCCCCCACCCCCACCCCGCTATGGCTTTTCCTCTAACAGGGACAGGCTCCCAGCTTCACCCCCATGGGGTTCCTCTAACAAGGACCAGCTTCCTAAGCTAATAGAGACCAAAGCCTCCTCCTCCTGGAGGGGATCCCTCCCCTTCCACTCCAGCTTGCCTGCTGCCCCACGGCCTTCTTGCTTCCAGCTGGGCCTGGGAGCAAGGAAGGGGACAGGCAGCTCCTTTTTAGCCTTCAAGGCCTAGCAAGAGGTCTTGCCTCAAGGTCTTCTCTCCTCAGAGGCTGCCAAGCCCCAAGTCTGGGCTCTGCAGTCAGCCTGCTGCTGGGGTGCCTGGCACCTCTGGCCTGTCCCAAGTGTTTTACAGGGGAGATAAGCTTTGCTGCCCTCCTGCCTCCCAGCCCTCCCCCTGCACCCAAGTTCCCTCTGGAAAAGAATGTAAAATAAATCTGGATACCAGGGACCTTGTCTCTGAGTCTTTCTCCTTTGTGGGAGGGAGAGGCCTCCTCCTGTTTAGGATTATGGGGATTCTTTCTGCAGTGGGCTGTGCTAGGAATCAGGTGGGACAGATGTGCGCACACGTGTGTGTCAGGGAAGGCTGGACAAGCATCATTATTATCTCTAAAGATCTCAGTCCTCAAGTGTCAGGCAGAATTGGGCAGCTGTCTGACAAGAAGTGCTGAGTGAATGAATGTCACAGGGATCAGGGCAAGGCCTGACTGGGGGGTGGGGGGGGGAACCAGAGACAGGGGGGCCGGATTTGGCCTTGTTTGCAAGCTGCTTTGACTCTGGATCTGCCACTGTGGGGTTGCTGGACTAGATGACATTTCTAACTGTTCTGCTGCTAATGGTTTCCTTCTGTGTGCTCCATTTCCACACTGAAGCTCTCGTGTGTTTGTTTTCTTCTTTGGGCTCAAGTTTTTGAGCAATCATTTGTGGGCAACAGGGAGTGGTGGGGCACAGCTAGCCAAAGCAACACTTCTTGCCCAAGGTTTTAGAGTCCCGAGGCTTGCTTGGGTCCTGTGGGGTGTCAGCAGTGGCACAGCCTGGGTCTGGCTGCTCTGCCAAGAAGGGAAAGCTCCATTCCTTGTCTGCCATTGAGAGGTGAGCAGGGCGTAAGGTGCAGCCATGGTGTTGTCAACGTCAGCATCACAAGCGGCAGATTAAGATTCCATTTTATGGGAGAGACTGAGGCTTTGAGAAATAAAGTTGTCTGGGCCACATCAGTATTGAATGCTGACATCAGGTCCACCTCACTGCATGAAATCTACCAAAGGCCCAGGCAGTCCTTGTCCGGAGGCCCCTGGAGAAGGAAGGTCACACATAAGGTCAGGGACTTCCCTGGGGTGGCCCAGGGTGGGGCTGCTTTTATGTTCTTCCTGGCAATCCTGTCTTCCAGTCCTGTCACTTAAGGTGCCCCACACCAGGCGGGTGGGAAGAGGTGCTGGCTGACATAAAGGGAGTGGTACCTAGTTCTGTCGGGCCTGAAGGGTGGTGGCTGACGGGGCAGTGGCCTGACTCTGACAGGTTCCTTGAGCCTGGGTGCGGCCTGGGCCCCAGCAGTGGCTAAACAGCAGCTTGAAGAACGAGATCTACGTGCATTTCTTCATCCATTCCATCCACGCCAGTCCTTGGCACGGTCTGGTTCTGAGTTGGCAGGTCCAGCCCACCTTGGACTGGAAATGACCATTCTTTAGGACCCCGCTGGCCTGTTCATGATTCCCTTATCCTAGCTCCTTTTGCACACATTCCCTGATGCCTTCATAAAGCTTATCAGCGTTGACAATTTTTCCCCTGCGGCAGAAACCAAATCCACTCCCTCTCTTTGATGGGGCCCTGGAACCTCCCGCAGCAAACAAACCCTACGCCCCCGGGCTGCCTGCCACCAGGGCCCTGCCTGTAAGATGACCACTTCTGTGCCTTGACTTGGCATGAGGGGGAGGTGAAGGAAGGATCAGAGGCCACTGGGGATGGCTCACCCATTTAGAGAGGTGAGATGAGTGACTTACTTGACTTACCCAGAGCCAGGTGTCACTTAGAGCTGGATAGTATTCCCTTCTGTGCCATGGAGTCATGCCCCGGCCAGCTGAATTGTCTTTGTGTTGCGTTTTGTGACTGCACAACCCACAGAGCAGAAAACCTCTAGATTACCTGTAGACGTTTCTAGAGACTGTCCAAGACACACAGGAGGGGTCCTCTGAGGACAGGATGGGTTTTGGTTGGGCCACTGCTCCATCCCCAGAGCCTAGCACAGTGCGCGCGCGCACACACACACAAACACACACACACACACACACACACACAGTCGGTACTTATTTGTTGAATGAATATTGCCTGAATGATTGAGTGGATAAATTTCCCTTCCTTCACTTCCGCTCCCCATCCGCACTCCCCATGTGTGGCAGGGCCTCTGCTTACACCTGTTTGCAATCCTTGGGCTTTGCCTATGTGACAGCAATCTGCACAACCGGAGGATAAACTATGCATTATTCCCACTTTATACACGAGGACACTGAGGTCCAGAGGAGCTGTGGAAATTGCCCAAGGTCACACAGCTCTAAGGCAGATGTGGCATTTGAGGCTAGGTGTGTGTGACCCCAACGCTGTGCTTGCCCCACCTGCAGTTTCCTGCTCCCTCAAGGGGCTTCCAGTCCAGCTGTGGAGGTAGAACAGGTGCATCAGGCCAAGTGGCTGTGCCAGGAGGCATGGGATTAGTCAGTGGGAGAGCAACTTACACAACCACATAGAGGCTGTGGGCAGGGGCGGGCACCAGGCTGGACTGTGAGTTCAAGGAGGGTGAGACCTGGGACCTGGGTGGGTGAGGGGGGTGGTGAGGGCACTCCTCACAGAGGGAACTCGGGAATGACTCATACCTGAGGCAGGCAAGTTACAGCTGTGCCCACAGGTGTGCTCCCCTGCAAACAGATCAACCTGGCAGTGGATGTGAGGTCAAGACAGCAGGAAAGCAAGAAGGTGGCTCTGAGGTCTCTGGGGTGGGTGTTCCCAGCTATGGCTCTGGGGAAACCATTGGCCAGATGGCACCTGGAAGGAGGCACCGGGGGCCCCCTCCTGAGCGGTCCTCTTCTCATCCCTAGAGCCTGGGTGGTTGTTGGGGGAGGGGCAAGGCCAGCAGTGGTGGTTGGGGACGGGCCCCCCAAGTAGGCCAGCAGAGAGGCTGAGGTGAAGGCAGCTGGTGAATGGCATCACTGGGGAGGATGCCGGTGCCCCCCCAGCCAGGAGCCCCTCTTCAGCCCCTCTGGGTGCTGGCGAGGTGCAGGGGGCAGAACAGACTTGCAGGCAGCTCAAGCAGGAAACTCTGCAGCGGTCCCAGGCCCCCGCCAAGCCCGCGGCCGTTCAAGAAGGGAACTGAGGGGGGCAGAGGGGCGGCCCTGGTTTGGGACTTGGGGGTGTCCACGTTGCATCTGCGCCAGGGTGGGAGCCTGGAGCGGGTGGTGGAGACAGGGGGCCGCAGACACCCCGAGCCGGCCTCCCCCAGCCCGTGCACAAGGGCCCCTCGAATGGTGTGGGGCGCGGCCGGCCAGCTTCAGGGGGCGGCAGCCTCAGCGGTCCGCTGAGGGGGACACGGGGCCTGTCACTAGAAGCCTGTCCCCGGAGAAGGCGGGCACCTGGGGAGGACGACCGCGGCCTGGGGGTGCTCTGGGGAGGGTCTGGCCTCCCATTCCCCCGGCGGGGCGCGGGCCAGGTAGCAGCGCCCGGGCTCGGCAGCGCGGAGGCGGCGGCTTCCCGGGGCAGGGGCGGTGGCAGGGGCGGCCCCGGGATCACATGGGCGGAGGCAGGTCCCGGAGCCCCGGGCGGGCTCTCCCCAGAGTCGGGCAGACGGCGGCGGGAGCGGCGGCGCCTCCTCGCCCTCCCTCCGTCCATCCCTTCCCTCCCCTCCCGGGTCCGGCCGCGCAGCCCGACAGGTGAGCTGCAGCCAGGTGAGCGCGCCCACCTGCGCACCCTCGGCGCTCCGCCCGCAGCCCCTGTCCCCGAGACCCGCCTCGGCGCGGCGCCCCCCGCCAGCCCCCGCCGGCCGGCCGGGCACTTTGGCCTTGGAGCCAAGAAGGCTCCAGAAGTGGGAGAGCCGGGCCGACGGGCTGGGCACCTCCCCACGGCGCCCGCAGCGCGGAGTTCACCCGCCGGCTCAAAGGTCTGGGAATCTCAGGGAGTCCGTGAGCCGCCAGCGCCGGCCCTGGGCCTGAGGAGGGACAGAGGTCAGGCCTGGGCCACAGGAGAAGCCGACTGGCGGGACATGGGGCGGGCAGACCCCTTGGCCAGGGCGCCCTCTGCCCAGAGCCCTGGTGTTCTTGGTAGATTCCACAGCACTTGCAGACTGGGCTGGGTGCTGGGCAGGGTGGCAGTCAGCTTGGCACTGCCGCTTCCTGCCTGAGTTGGCCCCTGACTTCAGAACTAGAGGCTCAGGAAATCCTATAAGGGCATGGTCTGCAAGGACACTCCCTTACCTAGAGGAGGGGGCTGTGGATGGGAGACCTGTCACCCCAGCGGGCAGGCAGCATCAGTCGGCTCTCCCTGCCGGCTGGCACCAGGGGTGGGTGTGCCCAGCTTGGCAGATGCGCCCTGGCCTCCTTGCTGGGGCTGTTCAGAGGCAGCAGGCCCCTGGGAGGTGGGAAGCCCTGTCTTGCCCATCTTAAACACACTGCCAGGAGGCCCCTCTAAAGACCTGGCCTCAACCCGGCCAGCTCCACACCTGGCCAAATGCTCGCACAGTCTGTGGGGGTGCCCATTCCTAGCGCCATCACTCCTGTTCCCAGAGCCCTGCTCTGCCTCAGAGTGGGGAGGAAGTATCTCATACTGTCGGTTTTGGGGACAGGAAGCACTTGTGGGACTTAGCCCTGGTGGCGGAGGAGGGGAGAGGGAGGAAATGCTGACGTCTCCTGCCACCTGCCAGCTCTGCCCACCCGCTCTCCAGCCAGCCCGTCTGGCTGCCCAACCGCCGCTGCCTCGGAGCTGCTGGTCTCCACGGGAAGGGAAACTCAGAGTCATGGCTTCTCAGGGTGGGGGGAAGTGGAACGCAGGGGTGCGGGAGGGAGTTCGTCACGTCTTCACCCCCTCCCCGCCTCTGCCCCGCCATCTTGCAGTGTTTCTCGGGGTGGGCAGCCCTTGGTCCTTTCTTCCTCAGGTATGGTGCTGACGGTGGACGTGGTCGGGCCAGCGCCCTGGGGCTTCCGCATCACAGGGGGCAGGGATTTCCACACACCCATCATGGTGACCAAGGTAAGGGCAGGTCCCAGGAAAGCATCTCAAAAGTTAGGTCTGCCCTGTGCAGCCGGTCCCCACACACCCCAGTCATCTCTCGTCCAGGAGCAGAGGCTGGCTGCTGGCAGTGTTGGACTGGGGAGGGCCGGGGCCCTGCTGCCATGGGGATGTGGTGGCCACTTCAGGAACAGGCTTCCAGGGAGTGACAGGGAGCTGGCCAAGGACAGAGCCTGCTCCTTTCTCCTGGGTCACTGACCCCACACCTGCTGGCAGCCATTTTGGGGGGTTACCAGAACTAAAGCCCCTTGAGTCCTTGGCAGTTTCCTCTTGACCGGGTTGGGCCCCGGCTGGGGAGCGTTTGCGTGGAGGCTGTGAGCAGGCAGCCACCTGCATGGTGTGATCTGCACGGGCAGGGCTCTCTACGCAAAAGTATTTCCAAGCCCGGTTCCTGAAATTCTGCCATTGTGCATTCTTTGAGAGGCTCCCCTGGAGGTTTTGGAGGGGATTAACTGACTAGCTGGGCCACGATGGGCAGGGACAGGAGCGTTAGATGGGGTGCAGGCCAGCCTCGTTCAAGCCCACTTCTGTGTTTCTTGGGCAGCAGAGAGGGAGGTCCCCTTGCTGCCAGCCCTCCCCTGAGTGCACCACTGTCCCAGCATGAGTGCTCAGACTCACCTGCTGCTTATCTCCTACAGGTAACTGAGCAGGGCAAGGCCAAGGCTGCTGATCTCCGGCCTGGCGACATCATCGTGGCCATCAACGGGGAGAGTGCAGAGGGCATGCTTCATGCTGAGGCCCAGAGCAAGATCCGTCAGAGCCCCTCGCCTCTGCGGCTGCAGCTGGACCGGTAGGCCGTCTGTTTCTCCCAGGCCCGCTGGCCTTCTCCCTCCCCTTTGCCAGCCCACTGCCATGGCAGCCGCCCTCACCCCTGCCCGCAGCCTAGTGCTCAGCCCCAGCTTGAGCTTCCTGGGGCCCTGCAGCAGGGAAGAGGGAAGCAGGGTGGGCTGAAGGGTCTCTGTGGCTGGCTGGGTGAAGGTGGGCACCAGGCTGGGCATGCAGCCACAGGCTGGGCAGGGCAAGCTGGCACCAGCCACCTGGAAGCCCGGGTTTGACTGGTTCCCCAGAGCATGCAGTGTACAGGGTGTGGGCATGAAGTGGGTTGGAGAGGGGAAACTTCTGGGGAAAAAAAAAAGGTTTGTCCTAGGTGGGTCTCCAGGACCCCTGCCTCCAGGAAGAGATGGCCTTTGTTTAGGTCCCGGTTTGTGGAGGGGAGTCTGGGGCCTCATTCCTTATAGAGCCCATCCGTCCTTCCCCATCACCCTTCTGGGCCTTGCTGGTGAAGGGGGATTCCTGGGCTTGGGCTTGTGGGTTTTTGAGCCTGGAGACCAGGGTTGTGGGGGGAACAGGTGGCTCCCCTGGGTGGGGCATCGCAGTGAGTCACAGACCAGGAATGCTGGGGGATCCTCCAGTTAGGAGAACCCTTTGGGAGTGCCTGGACCGGAGTCGGATACCTCCTGCCTCTGGGCCATCACCCCTGCTGGACTCTCTCCAGGCTTTCTCCTGGCCCTGTCACCCAGCTGCCCTGCCCTGCCCCACCAGTTAGGAGAACCCTTTGGGAGTGCCTGGACCGGAGTCGGATACCTCCTGCCTCTGGGCCACCACCCCTGCTGGACTCTCTCCAGGCTTTCTCCTGGCCCTGTCACCCAGCTGCCCTGCCCTGCCCCATGGAACTGCAGAAGCTGCCTCCCTTCATGCCACTCTGGCCTCTGAGTGTTTGCAGGAGTGGGACCTGGAGGAGGAGGTTGGAGAGTACCTCATGGCATCTGGGAATGGGACCAAAATCTACAGGAGGCTGCAGCCTGGGATGGGGGTGGCGGGGAGCTGCTGACACAGTCACTTACTATGAGGTGGCCGCTTGCCCCAGGCCTCTAGCTCCACACCGGGCAATCCAAGGCTCTAGGTCTCTTTTTTCTCTTGCCAAGCCCCCGTCTCACCCTTCCTAGCCCCCGAGGACACCTCTCTGGCATCCAGAAGCCCTGGGACCAGTCGCAGGGCTCTGGGCTGGAACCCGAGCCGAGATCCCCTCCTCTGACCCCACACCTGTCCCTGGGAGGCTGAGATTCCTGCTGACCTACCTCTGTAGAAGTGGCCAGACGTCCAGGAACCACGTAGCACCTGGGAATGGTGTAGCAGGCTCTCTCCTCACCCTCAGTCAGCTCCTGCTCCTCCAGGGACCTTCTGTTCAAGGCTACAGCCTGCTCCACTGGGAAGGGCTTTGGCAGGGGGTCCCAGGGGACTCGAGGGGGAGCCCCTCTGGCTGGCTGCTGTTTTTGGCAGGGAGCTGGGCCTGTTCATCGTCCTGGCTCTCCAGGTCCTTCGCTGCCCGCCTAGCAGGAAAGGGGGCCGGTTCCAGCCTTCATTTAATGGGGGAAAAGCCCGAGAAAGGGACTGTGCGTGACCCTCTCAGAGGTACTCTGGCCATCAGTGGCAGAGCTGTCAGGGGACAAGCCTGTGGTGGGGAGAGTGGCAGTCACTGGGTGAGTGAACCAGCCACTGGCAGGCTTCAAGATTCTGGACAACTCACTTCCTTCCCTGGCTTTAGTTTCTCCGTGGGTTAAAATATAAAAGGTTATTTATATGAAATCTGCAATCTTCCCCCAAACCTGTCTACAAACTGATGCTGACCAGTGACAAAGTCTGGATGAAATGAGGAAAAAGGGGGGAGGGGACAATGTGAGGAGTTTCTAATGAAATAGAATTTATTGAACTTTTTGCTGAAATTATGTTTTTTCTACCTTTTGGTGCTAAACTTTCTTTTAAGAAACAACAGTGGCTACGGATGATAGTTGTTTGTTTTGCATTTGGCAAAGTTCAAAGTTGACAACCCGCTGTCCAATATTCTGGATGCTTTAATAGTGTTGAGAACCAAGTTTGGGAACAGCGTCCGCCACTTGCGGGGTGGGGGGCCAGGGCCCTGTGACTCTCTCTTCTCTCTGTGACCTCCTCAGGTCTCGGGCTGCCTCTCCCAGGCAGACCAACGGGGAGAGCTCTTTGGAAGTGCCTGTGACTCGCTTCCAGGTAAGCCGGGGCCTCTGGATGGGAGCACCCCCCACCTGCCCACCCTGTGTGCCCGGCCCTGAAGGCTGCGGCCAGAGGACAGGGTGGTCAGGGTGCAGCAGCCCAGCTCTTCCTGGTGTCCCTCTCTCCCCAGGGCTCCGTGAGGACGCACACTGACAGCCAGTCCTCCCTGAGGTCTTCCTACTCCAGCCCGGCCTCCCTCAGCCCCCGGCCAGGCAGCCCCTTCCCCACATCACCCCCCAGCAGCCCGCAGGCCCTCATAGGAGAGACAGCCATCAGCCGCAGGTGAGCACAGCCCTGAGGAAGCTCAGTAGCTGTGTGTAGGGGACCCTGGGGGCACCCTCTTCCCTGGGGCAGGCTGGCTGGGGCCCCTGGCACACACACTGTCCATTTCCCCCTTCCAGTGTGCAGAGCCTGGCGCACTCTCCAGGCCTCTCCGCTGCTGACCGCTCATCCTATGGGGGCCGCCCCAGAAGCCGACAGGTGAGGCTGCCTGGGGGGGAGGAGAGAACCAGAGAAACAGGAGAGCCTCCTCGTTGCCAGTGGTGCCCCTGGGGCTGCGGGCGCTGGTCCCACCTGGCAGCCAGCGCCTCCATCTCCTAGCGACAGGCGTGCTCCTCTCCTGAGCAAGGGAGGCCAGTGCTCCTGGTGGGGGCCACATGCGCCATGCTCCAGCCCTGCCCAGCCCGTGCCCATGGCCCATCTGACTCCTGTGCTCCTTCTGGCCACCTCCTCCCTGCCCCGCCTGCCCTCTCTGTTCCTGCCAGCCCCCTCCCTTCTCAGCGTGTTTCTCTTGGGCCAGGGCTGAAATAGTTTTGCTGCTGTTGTTGGGGTGGTTCCCTTTCGGCTCTGGCTGCATCTCTTGAACACATTCCTCCCTGTTCCCAGCCCCATGCCTGCCCCCGACCCCCATCCCCCACCCCCCCTTCCTCCTCTGTCTCAGCCCAGAGAACCCCCAGTGGGACCGTGGCTCTGCCTCAAGCTATACTTGGCTCCTCCTCTGCCTGCCCCTCACTCCCCTTCTTCCCTGGACTCCCCTCCACCCGGGTCCCACTGTCCCTTGTGACAGCCTAGTCCCTCCCCCACAGTGGTATTTTTCCTCGGCAAGGGCAGGGGTGGGGAGCCACGCAGCCAACAGGCCCAGGCTGCAGCTGATGGGGGCAGAGCGGTGGGGCACGTCCAGCCTTTGGGGTGAAGGGGATGAGGCCCAGCTGCTGGACTCCTAGCTCTGGGTGATTCTGCATTCCAGAGAGCAGGGCCTTTGGGGTGGCTGGGGGAGGGTACCAGAGACTGGGGGCTCTGGAGAAGGAAGGAGCAGGAGCCTTGGGGGGCTGCCCAGGAAGGGCTCCCTGGTGACCCACTGTGTGTCCGCCTGGTGGCCAGCCGGGCACTGTGAGCACAGGGATGTCTTTAAAGAATTTAGGATGTAGTTGTGGAGATAAGACAAACATGCAAAGCAGTTTTGGAACAATTAAGCAGCAAGCAGTGTGGTATTAATTATAAAAGCAGGAGGCGTTCTGGGAGGGAGGGTGAGTGTGGGCTGGAGTGGCCTGAGAAGGCTTTGTCAGGAATTTTGCTGGACGTTGGAGGTAGGACGGGGTAGGGTTTAGATTAGAGGATGGTGAGCAGGGCCGGATACTCTGGGAGGTGGGGAGACAGTGGTATTAGCAAGACCTGGCATGCTTGGGGCTGGGGGTGCCTTTCTGGGGAGGGCTTTGGTCTGAGACAAGCTGGAGCGACCTTGGCCTAGGGCTGCCGTCAGCTAAGCCTCCTGGGGACAACCTTCCTGGGCTCCTTCTCTCCCCGCCCCCCCCCCACATGGTGGTCCACAGGAGGAAAGTCTCAGCAGGACTATGGTGCTCAAGGGCGAGACTTTGGAGGGGCTCCTTCCTGATGGTGTCCCCAACCCGGGGCAAAAGTGGGATGTGGGGTGGCACAGAGGGGTGGCTCTCAAACCAGCAGCAAGCCCTGCGAACCTGTCAGACATGCAAGGTCTCAGGCCCCAGCCTAGACCTGCTGAGCTGGGCGGAGGTGCGGGGTAGCAATCGGTGCTTTAACAAGTCCTTGTGTGGTATAAAGAGGAGCCTGGCTGGGTGGCGGGGACACCTGGGGTAGTCCCACCTCTGCTGTGTGACCCTGACAAGCCCCTCTTCTTCTCTTGGGGCCTCAAGTCGACTCAATCAGGCTCTGAGTTCTCTTCTCTGACCCCCAGGACTCTGGGCATGCCTTCGACAACTATCTACCGAGCAGCTGCTTTGTGTCCGACACCCTTCTAGGCCCTGGGCTGCGTTAGCGGAAAAACAGAAATTCCTACAGAGCTTACATTCTGGCCTACAAATGAGGCTGTGGTCTGGTGGGTGTGGGAGTCACAGGGTCCCACTGTGCCCTCTTGAGAGTCACTGTACACTTGAGCATCTTAAAGGCTCTAAGTCCCATGAGAAAGAAACACATTTGATTTTGTTAAATTCCTAAACTTGTTTAACTGCAGAATTTCTCCTGGCTTCTCACCCCCAACTCCCCGCCACTTCTGAACATGCTTGTGTTCCCTAGAACATGTTTGGAGGTGCTGACTACAGACAAGGTCTTGATGGGCAGGTGAGAGGGAGCAGCCTTCCTGGACTTGCAGTTGAAAGGCTCTTCTGTCATGGTCTGGGTGCCCAGCTGCCTGGGAGACAGGGAGGAGACAGAGCTTCTGCAGGGAAGAGACTGTGGCCTGGACGTGCAGAGCTGCCATGGCCTTGCAGCTGGCTCCTGAGCTGCCTGAGGCTGCAGAGAGCCTGGGGTGTAGGACAACACCAGCCTGTACGGTGCCCTTCTGGAAACTATAAGTTGCCCCCTCCAGGTAGGCACAGGCCTTGGTGAGCGGATGCCAAGTGAAAAAAGTGTCTCTCCCTCTGCCAGGAAGGAGGACTTGGCTTGTGAAGGAAGCCTGGGCTGATGTCAGCCCTCCCTCACCCCTGGGCCGGTGCCTCTTGCAGGGCACATGCTGGCCTGTCTGCAGATGTGACACCTTCTTGAGTACCTGAGGAAATGATCTCACAGTCCTTCAGTTGACCACAGATGGCTGTGCAGGAGCTCAGGCGTGGAGTCCCAGCCCTGCCTCTGAGTCCCCAGGTGGCTGATGCTGACACTTTGACCACAGACACTCAGTCCCTTTACATGTGGAGCGTTTTACCAAAGCATCCCAAAGCGCCATGGCAGGCAGGGCCAGACCTCCCAGGGCAGCAGGGGAGGCTGCTCAGCCCAGATCCCGGCCCTCTTAGGAGAGAGGGCCTGTGACAGCCGGGCCTGACTCCCAGGGGGTCTGGGCCCCTGCACTGCTCCCTTGTGTTTCTGTTTCCTCTCTGGCAAAGTGTCGGCTCGCTTCGTCGCTGCTTGTTCCGCCGGCTCAGAGCCAGGCCCCAATGCACAACATCTTTGAAACCGCGTGGCATGACTTCACAGAGAGGAATGTGCACCGAGGGGTGTCTGTGCTTAGGTGTCACCTGGCTTCTTCCTTCCGCCCCCTGCCCGGCCCCTTGCAGAACCCACGCTCCTTCATAGCTGGGTGCTGACTGCCTTGCC